TTCTATTAGTCAAAAAGTTGCGTAACTATATACGTATGAGGGATTTTTGTATGGATAAAATCTAAAGTCATCAAACGTTTGTGTTTTATAAAATGTATTAACATCTTTACAAAGAAGTAAATGCAAAACTTAATCCGCGAATATGATAGAATAAGCCCTTTCTGAGCATATTCACGGATTAAATTTTGTATTTACTTCTAGTAAAGAAGTGTATACATTTTGTAAAATACAAACGTTTGATGACTTTAGATTTTATGCACCATAGGTCAATAGTTTTAAATTAGTGAATATCTTAATATAATTGAAATATTAGATCGGATTTTTTGCACCTTCTTTTAACTAAAAGGCATTCTCAATATAACGAATACCTCTAGGCAAATAAGAGAAAATTTTTAAAATGTTCATTATATCGAAATTAATATGTTTATATGATGATCTTATTATTCTTCTGTAAGACCCACAGCGGCTCATTAAATCGGAAGCTAAAAAGAAGGAAATTTATCTGTTTAATTGAGATATCTATGATTTTTCCAAATTAATCCAGTTAATTGAGACAGATTAATTTGCGTTCATCTAAGAAGTATATACTTTTATTGATTTACCGATTGGCAGTCTTCTCAATTTTTAACCAAATGGCTTGAAATCATTATTAAAAAAAAACTTAGAGATTTTAGCTTTTTATTTCAATTAGTCAACAAGTATAAAAATACGAATTTGGTCAATTTGTGCGAATTTGCTCCAAAATTTTATTTTGTTCTAAGAAAATTTACAATACATTTTAAAAAATTTTTAGATATTAAATCTTAAAGTTATAAATATAAAAAATTGCAAAATTTTTGCTTTCAATTTTTAAGCAGTATATATTTAAAATACTTGTCCCGACATCTAAATATGTATAATATATATGAATTGTTTAGTTTGAAAATTATTAAGAAAAAACATTTTTTGTCAATAATTACGTATGATTCTCGGATTGCATATCTGAGATCTACGTATAATATCGATAAAAATATCGATAAAAAATATCGATATTAAATAGATTTACCATCAAATATACATCATGCTGTAGAAATTATTTTTTTTGAAAAGTAATTTCGGCAAACAATTCAAATGGTTTTGAATTTATAATATTTTTATATTATGGGTATAGAAACTCAAATAAGTTTGAATATCATTTCGGATACTATTAGAATTAGTTTCGGCATTTCGGCTTTATTAAGAAGGATAATTCTAATCAATGTCGCATACTGTATAATAGAGTTAATATTCTTTTCGTCTCAATTGATAATAAATAACTTTTCTCTTTTATTTACTTCTTCTGACATGTTTTTAATAGGACAATTATTGTTCGTTTTATGTTCTAGTTTATTGAAAACTCAAAGGTATTTTAATACGTTGAGACTCTGTCGCTATCAATAAAAAACGTATGTTGTGTTTGCACAGTTAATTCTTTTGAGATTAAATTTGAAATTGGCTATTTTTCTTTTCAGTGTCAAACACTTGTAAGACATATTAGAACATTATAAACAAAAATAAATAAGCGAAAATTACCTCATTTGCTTTGTTTGGAATATATAAACTAAGACTTGTAAATTATACATCAATATCTATATTATATTCAGTTAATTATTTAAAATAGAAGTATATTTTATTAATTATTAATTATTGTTTATATTTTTTTAAATTTTTTAATTATTAATTTTTAAATAAAAAATTTTAAATAAAATCCAAAAGTATTATTTATTATCAAATAACATAGTTTTCTTTATATTTCTTGATATGTCTAATATATATAAATTAAAATAAAATTAAAAATAATTAGTTATACTTTTATTTTTTATTTTATATATATAATATTCATATATAAACTCCAGCACACACATACAGTGACAATCAGAAATAATGCAATGACATCAAAATTTATCAATTAAACATAGTAAAATGCGGATTTTTCTCTTTATATATATAAAATTTTTCAATTTTACTAATAAATATTTTTTATTTTTACATTAAATTGAAGATAATATTATATATTTTAACATATATTTTTTTCAAATTTTTTAAATTTAATCTGATAAAGCTATTCTAATTGCATATAAAGTTAATTATTTTTTATAATTAAAATAATTGACTTTATATGCAACTAGAACAGCTTTATCAGATTAAATCGAAAAATCTGAAAAAATATATGTTAAAATATATGATATTATCTTCAATCTAATGTAAAAATAAAAAATATTTATTAGTAAAATTGAAAACTTTTATAAAGAGAAAAAGCCATATTTTACTATATTAATTAATAAATTTTGATGTTATTGCATTATTTCTGATTGCCAATATATATATTATATATTAATAATTAGAAATTAATATTCTTTTTGTAGCTAAATTTTCTAATAATAGTTTTTTGGCTGTTTTTTTAGTTGGTTATCTTGTTATAATATTGGTATTATTATTAGATTTGTATCTGATTAAGTTATTTTTATATCTTTTTAATAAAATTTTCTTATTTTTTTATACTTTTTTTACTGGTAAAATATTTTTCACTTAATTATATTTATTTTATTGATCATTTTTTAGTTGCTCTTTGGTGAAGTAATCACAGTTATCTTCAATTTTTTCTAATTTTCATTGGAATTTGAATTTTCTGAAGCAATTTGATCATCTTGAATAAATTTTTTAGGTTTTATTAGTAGTAATTTGGTAAATATTTTCTGTTTTCTTTTTGTTATTACAATTATTTTTTGACTTTCTTGAAGAGAATGAATAATTTTAACTGGAAATATTACAATTTGATAAAAGCTTTACATTATTAAGTCAGCTTTATTTTTGCAGTTGGTAATTAGTCTCTATTTGTCTTTGATGTGAGATTTAGTAAATTATTTTTGGCTTCTTGCTGTTGGTTCTATTTGTTGGTGGATACTGTTATAAATTTTCCAATTCACATTCAATTCTGAGTGTTGGTGAAATCCTATTGGTGATATTCTTGTGCTTTTGGTGAATTTTTTCTGATTTGAAGACTTATTTTGTGAGTTCTCTTGAATTGAATTTCTGTAAGGAGAAACTAATTATTGTCTTTCTTCATAACTTCTTTCAGTCTTATGAGTGGATTAATGTTAGATTAATTCGTTTTTGGCTTTCTTCTGTTGCCAACTATTTTTTATGAAATTTGTGCCAAATTCTAAATTATTCATAGCTCTTGTGAATTCTGGTTTTATTTCCTCCATTTTCATCAGAGAGCGACAACTTACTAATTTTGTTGTTGATAGTTTATTGTGGTCTACTCAGACCAGTTCTCGAGATCCTGAGTTATTAGTGTTAACTGTATAAATTTGCTTCTTCCCAACCATATTTCTTTTGTCACCATTCCTTTTTTCGCAACTCTTCTATTGCTGCTATCATCATCATTCCTAATCTATCTATCATATGATTTTTATACATGAGGTCATTAAAATGCATACATAACAGTATGACATGATTTAATAATGGAATTTTGCAAAAATTTGCAGTCAAAATCGCCCATACAACTTTTTCATAAGTGGCAGTAAAAAAGTCATAACTTGTCCATTATGTAAAAACAAAAAACTTTGTTATGTACAAAAACATGCTGTTACTATCTTAAACAACAGATTATACTAAAAGATTTTGAAATCATTTCAAAAAGATTAGAGAACAACGTTATTGATAATCTTAAATTCTTTATTAGCATAAATGAGTTTTCAACTCATATTAATGATGATTTAAAAGAAATTTCCCCGGAAATAGTTGAAATAATTTACAAAATAATGCAATTCAAGTTGAATAATGCCTTTTTTTTAAAATATATTGGTTATATTATTTATAACGATAAATTTACATGTACATGTATTTAGTCGTTAACATATACGTACATGTACACACGTCTATCACATTCAGATACAACTGTGCTCAATTACTTCAACGACAAAAAAATGAAGATGCATGTACATGTACGTATGCACCAAATTTATATATCTGTGACTAAAAATTGTCTTTGTTTCTTTTTGTTTTGGTGATGCAATACATGTACTTTTTGAGCGCCGCCACTGTAACTAATCTTGAAATTAATCTTTAACGTTGATATTAATATCGATATTACAGTACGTATAATTTTCCGAAGATCGGCAAACAGATTGCGTGTATAAAGTTAATTCATGTACTCGATTTTATTGCGTATATGAAATTAATAATGACGAGAATGAAGATATATCGAGTTTATTTTATTTCAAAATTAACTACCTAATAAGTATTAATATACATTATAGAACTACGTACACGAAACATAAAAGTTATCTTTTAATCGTTGAATCGATATTAAACCGTGTTTCAAGTTAAATATGCGTAGTTGCACAGCGACCAAAAGTGGCTTTTATTTACTTCATTATACAGTCACTTCCAATTTGATTTTTCCTGTTTACAGAAAAATATCTGTTTGAATTTTTGTGTTTAAACTAAGCAAAATACGAACAAAGAGACAACGGTAAAATTAAAATTAAATTTTGATAAATTTAGTCATGACTCGAATTGCATGTGTAAAGAAATGAATTAATTTAAACATTGATTGTTCAAAAGCTAGGCTGTTAATCGGTCCGATGGACCTTCGTTCCAATCCTCATCAGAAAGACCGAAGGAACCATTGGTCACATGCAGTTCTATTTAATAATTTAGCACAACAGAACAAGCAATAGCGGGTAACGTAATACGACCAGTACTAATACTAAATTAGAAATAATACGAACACATCAAATCGGATAGAAGAAAAGGATTTAATAAAACTCGCATAATATCGATATAATTTAAATACTCTAATAATAATAACAATAACAATAACAATAATAATAATAATAATAATAATAATAATAATAATTACACTGTAGCATTCGTAAATAATAATAATAATAATAATAAGAATGGCTTCAAATAATCCAAATACAATCATAACATCACCTACCGAAGCATACATATCAAAGTGCAAAGAATCAATGCTACCACCAAATCCATCACCGACTTTATCAACTTCTGCAACAGTATCATCTGCTATCTCAAATAATGACAACCATTTATCAAGTACACCCTCAGAAAATGATCCAAATAAATCATCGACGACTCAAGCTACGATTTCGATGTCAGAAGTTGAAACAGTTGCCAACAATAACAGTGGTGACATTGAGAAAGCGGCGTCAATCGAAGTTCAAACATTAGATATTCCACCGGAAAGCTCTACGCATTTGAAAGGAATAGAACTATTTCTGGTTATGGTTGGGTAATTAGCAATTCATTGATAATTTTGTATATCAATTCGATCGTTTTTCTGAATTACGTTATTGTTATTAGGTTGGGATTTGGAGTGTTTTTAGCTTCTCTTGATCAAACAATTGTCGCAACTGCTCTACCACAAATCGCTTCGGATTTTAATGCATTGGATCAAATCGCTTGGGTTGCAAATTCTTACCTTTTGACAACGGTAATTTATCTTTTGTTTGGTTAATTTAAATCACCATGGTATATCGACATGTGTAAATTAGTATTTAAATTAAATGCATTTAATTTAGACTGCATTTCAACCAACGTATGGTAAATTATCAGATATTTTCGGACGAAAAGCGACATTTCTCTTTGCAATAGTCGTGTTCGAATTAGGAAGTCTATTATGTGGGGTTGCTCAAAACATTACTTCTATGATTGTATTTCGTGCAATCGCTGGTATGGGTGGCGGTGGCATTCTGAGTTTGGTAGTGATTATTATATCGGATATCGTTCCACACCATGATCGTGGTAAATACCAAGGACTTATCGGTGCGGTATATGGAGCTGCTTCACTTGTCGGTCCTCTCTTGGGTGGTGTTTTTACCGACCACGTAACTTGGAGATGGTGTTTCTTTATTAATTTGCCATTTGGAACTATCGCAGCAGCCGCTGTCATTAAATATCTCAATTTTCCAAAACCGAAAGGTTCATTAATCAACAAAATTAAGCGTCTTGATTGGTGGGGAACTCTGGTTGTAATGGCCGCTACTATTGCTTTACTTTTGCCACTAAACTGGGGTGGAAATACATACGAATGGACGAGTCCAATTATTATCGTATTACTTGTAGTCGGTGCTCTCTTGTTTGTTCTTTTTGGATATGTGGAAGGTTGGATTGCTGTGGAGCCAGTTGCTCCCAGTCGTCTCTTTAAAGATCGTGCTGTTCTTGCATGTTTCAGCGTAATCTTTTTCAATGGCATGACATTTTTTGCAATGATTTACTATCTGCCACTTTACTTTCAAGTCGTAAAAGGTGAATCAGCCACAACTTCTGGATTAGAATTATTACCATTTGTTTTGGGTGTTATGGTATCATCAATCGGTGTCGGACAAACTATCTCGCGAAAAGCTAATACCCGTATACAACTTTTGGTGTTGCTCGGCGGTACATTGATTACTGTTGGTGCTGGACTCGCAAGTCTTTTGAATGAACATTCTAGTCGTGGAAAGCAGATTATATTCATATTACTTCCGGGTCTTGGCGTTGGTTTTATTATTCAAACGACATTGTTGTTCTGTCATGCTGCAGTTGATTATAAAGATATCGCGACTGTCACTTCTATGCTCGTATTTTTTCGATCAAGTATGTATTCGTCGATTACGTATATTTAACGCGTATTCTAAATCTCCTTTTCTATTCATTTGCAATTATTTAAAGTTGGCGGCGTATTTGGCGTAGCAATTATCGGGACAGTCTTCAACAACGAACTTAGCAATAGGATCGAAGCTTTAAAACTTGGTATTAGCGCAGACGCTGTGAAAAGTTCGACATACCTCAAAAGTTTACCCTTGAATTTACGAGAACCCGTAATTCATGAATACGTTGAAACATTACGAATCTCTTATCATGCCATGGTACCTGCCGGTGTTTTATGTTTTTTAAGCGCGATACTTATAGGCAAGAATAAAATAAGACATTGACAGTCAAAGTAATGGTTCTTCATGAGTATTGTGTTTAATAATAGAAGAAATATTAATAATCGACATTTGGTACATTGACCTTTTGTAATTTAGAACATTTTGAAAAACTTTATAGATACTCAAGGGTTAATTTACCGTTACCACCAGCAAAAACATATTAATTTATTCATAGATTTGTTTGAATTTAAAATTTTATTTAAAAAATGTACTGGTTGAAAACTCGACTTTTTGTGAATTTTACAAATAAAAGCTATGCTATTTCTTTTCAAATAGTAAATTTAAAAAGTACATGTATAAGATTTTCTGTGAACCCACAAGTTTTATAAAATAACTTACGTTGGTTCCATGTAGACCCCACGTAAACCATTCGTCAATACAAGGATTACATATACGCGAATCACTGGTCGAAAAGATTTCCCGAGTAAAAAATGTCTTACATTTAAATCACGTGACACTAGGAGATTTTTACATAAGATTTTACGGACCTATATAAGAATTATATAAAGTTCTACGTATGACTGTATTTTTTTACGTATCTTTTACATAAAATTCTTAAATGTAAATTCATATGAAAAAAAATATGTCAATTTTTACATAAAATTACGCAAAGTTACACTTCCATAAATCTTCATAGAAAATTACATTAATGTGACATAGCAATATGGTCTGTAAATCTACGACATACGTATCGATACAGATATGGTGCATAACGATAACATAGACTGTATTTTATAAATTCAATAAACTTGTTATCTAAGAATTGAATCCATCATTCTTTACTTGAAAATCTTCTGATTTGGTTGATTCATTTTCAAATAAATAAAAAGTGCAGATATCGCCAAATGATTAAATTTATGAGCAAAATACAATCGTCCCTCCATATAATCACCTCCTATATAGTTACACCCTCTTTACATCACAGTTCCTGATATTATGAGACATAGGGAATTTGACCTTCATATAGTCACAACCTTTCTAAAATTACATTTTTTTCGAGTCTCGAGGGAGAGAGTGACTATTGTATTTGTATGAAAATCAACATGAAGAATTAATAAATTTCTTTGGAAATAAAGTCACATTTCACAAACTATTGCATATAAGTAATTCGCAAAGTTATCCCAAGTTTTAAAAATCCGTATACTCTAAAGTCTATTTATTCTGTATTTATGCAAGGACAAAATTGTAGGGATACAAATTATTCTTCATTCAAGATTTCGATCTGAAATTCTTATACTAACTAAATTAATCAAAAAAATAGAATCGAAAAATATGTTGATTTGACAGAAAAAATGACACAATACCATAATCCAATCTAGCCGCATGTATTTAATTCGTGATTCAGTGAAAAATTTATTATTGATATTGAATCTGTTTTTGGTACATAAAGTTTGTTTTTCCTAACTCAATGTATTAATGAGTACACTATACATATAATGTTGTGGGCGAATCCCAATATCTGTTTTCGAAACGTTCCGGGTCATTGATATTTATGGTGATTGATTTCCGGTTTTCCGAAAGTGTACCGAAATGATGAAATATATCTGAATGTCCTGAGACAAAAAAATCCGGGCTTCTCCCAATTTAGAATCAGAAGAAACTCGGAAAATAAAAAATCCGGTTTTTCCAATTTAAAATCGGAAAATAAAAAAATTCGGATTTTAAACTCGGAAGAAAACCGGAAATTTTACGGATTCGACTATTTATATGTTTGCAAGTTTTAATATAATTTTTTAATTTGGTTGTTTATATAAAGCATTTTTTTAGTCACATATCCCATATGAATATGGGTAACAAGTATAATATGAACCATTAGACGTACAACTATTTTAAGTACCTCGGATACTGCCATGACATTTGGTCTTAATTATTATTTCAAATTCAATCCAAAAAGTTTTGAAGCATTAAAATTGGCAAGTAATACATGACATATAATGATAAAATGTCAGAATAAAAAGAGGACTTTGTACGGTAATATATTTATTTACAAATGACTTATATATTGAATATTTCATTTTCTGTGCACAAAGTATGCCATTAAACCTCCATATTTGCCACTTCAGAATTCTCTTGAATAAATTTATCATTATTTCGAGGAGCCATAATTATTCATTTGAAATTATTGAAATATCAAATGGGACTGAGTTTTGGGTTAATAGTTTGGCAAGTATATTTCATAATACCCTTCTGATTAGAATACGAGTGTAGAATATAAATACTTATTCAGCAATTAATTTGTAGGAATTGGTTCGAATTTCAATACGCGATTTTAATTCCGGCAGTTTCTTAGGATTTGTTTCGCCCCGGTTCCGGACTAGACAGTTGGCAAAAGATGCTAATAGCTTCCACAACATTAATACATTAATTGCAAGTTTTCATTCACTATGACTTTATGAAACTTAAAAATGCTGTTTATTTTTTTAAGTAATACAGTCACACCTCTCTCCTCTATAATCACATATAAATAACAGTACCTATGCTTGGAACCATCTAATATTGAACTTATAGAAAAATATTTCTGTGTAAGCACATATAGAGATGATTGTAATCAAAAAATGTACAATTTAATAAAATAAGCCTTCAGCAGATTATTATTTCAAACAATTCTTTAAATTGTTTCTATATACATGCAAAGAAATTTTATTCTATAAATATCATGCATTATTACTATATCATAAACGCTTTGAATATCTATCAATTTTATCAAAGTTTATAAAAGCCGCTTTTATTCAATTTTTAAAGTCTCTTATTATTTTTGACTTATTCACACTGAATATTTTTCAAAGAAATGGAATCGCAGAAAGAAACTGATTTGAATTCTAAACCAAAAGTAAAAGTTGAAAGCGACACTGATAATATTAGTAAACTTAATGATATTGATAATATTTTACCTAAAACGAAAATTACTTTATCCACCAAAAATCCTTCACCAATGAGCGCCAGAGAAAAATTAACAAAATACATCGACGATACCAAAGATCACGTATATATTGTAACTCACCATATAGTGCACCATCGTGTCGAGATTCCGAACGTAGTTGTTCCTAGAAATCCAGCTGTTACAACACTACCTTCTCGACTGACATTCCGGCAAAAAATAAAACATCAAATACGACGAGCTCTCGAACGTCTCTTTAGTCGGTTTCGCCAATTTGAGGATATTGTCGAAGAGAAAATCCATTCTGCGTCTGGAGCGATTACCGACGACGTTAAAGATTCAGTCGATCAAACAGAAGAGAAATTTTCTGATGCTGTTCATTCTGCTACAGATAAAATGGCATCACAATATGAAATATTAAAAGACGATGTTGTGAATGCATTTGAGAAAATTAAAGATATTATTGGTGAATCAAAAACAAATGAAAGCGAAAACAATAATCAAAATTTTCAATTTGCTCGTGAAAAATTTTTCAAAACTGCAAAAGAAAGAGTTGGAAATATTGCAAATGCAATTGAAAATACTCTCACAAGTCGATTCACACCATCAGAAGATACAAGTTACACTTCTCACAGGTTACCGAACAACGATCAACCTACGACATCACACCAAATTGATAATTTCGCTAGTAACGGTAAAGGATTCAATGAAAAAGAACAAACTGTTAATTATTCGATAGACACAAGTGCATTGTATTGCGCGATTTTTGTTCTATATTTTCTTTATTTGAGAATTAATCTCTGGCAGCAACGTAGAAGAACAGCCGTATTTGTTGGTGACGGTTCAATTGAAATGCTGAAATCAATGCAGAATCAGGTTGGTACTCCATCTGTTATTTCTGAAAGTGACGATATGTCTATTCCAAACGGCCAATCAACACAACAACGAATGAACTCTATTAGCGGTAATCAAGGTAACCGGAGAAATTATCTAAAGGTTCTTTAGTATTAAAAATAAACAAGATTAATTTCATTAAATACAATAATAGCCACCACATCTAAATCAAATCAACATCGCTCATTTTATCAAGCACCCTCTCCATGTGAATATGAGATGCTTATGAGACTCTGTGAAGCGTGCAATTTCTATACAATTACAGTACCCGTTGGTGTGCTTCTCCTTTCCATATTAGAAATCAATGGTCTACCGAATACCATATTACACGTGTTATATATCATTCTTGGATATAGCGCTCTATTATATATTCATGGAGGCTTATTTGGTCATTCACAGGAATTTGTTCTTGGGCGAAAAGAAGTAGCACAGCAGATTGGTTGGATTGCGTTGGCAGTGGCTAGTTTTTCTTGTGGTTGGTTGGCATTGTCAAGTTTTTGGATTTATAAAGGGGAGATTTAATAGTTTTTAGCATTAACTTTTTAGTGAATCTAGTTATAATTGAGTTTTTTATTGGAATTTTTGAAAGAACAAACTAATTCATCTAAAGGAATTTTATTCATAGTTCAAATATTTAGTGAAATTCTTCGCGTATTATGCTTATTTCAAATACAAAAAAATAACTTCATTACGCTTTTACCGCCGTTTGCATGTTTATAGATTTTTATTTATTCCGTGATTAATATGATTATTATTCCATCTCCAAAAAAAACTTTCATAAAATAATTGGGCTTTGTTTTGCTAATTACATTTAAAATTTCTCCGGCAAAAGCACGTTTAACATGTTTTGTTCGCTTTTATTTTGAGTCTTTTTGCAATCACAGCCAGTTACTGAGGCGTTTTCATCACAATAGACATTTGAGCACATCCATAACATGCACTAATATAAAATATTTGTTGGGTTAGGCAGTTGTGTTGTACCAATATAATATTTTTATTGGTTGGGCAGTTGTATTTTAAATTATCTAAAAAAAACTGTTAAAAGGCACCTGTACACTCGGCGGAATAGAGGCACCAGACACTTTATTAATCATAAATGACAGTTAATCTCTAATAGCTTGCAGATTTTCAATGCATGCCTAGCTATACTCTCACTTAACTCTAGGAATTGCTTCCCAATGTTGTGTAAATTTCGCGAAAAAATTGCTTGTCACACCCTTTTTTGAATACGTACGTTCAGTGCCGATCATAAGTAACTTACCCATGGTAACTTTCCGAAAATTATGTGTAATGCTCTGAAATTTTCCGAGCACAAAGAACATCACAAACACTGATCATTGATACCTTTTTATTAGAGATTCTATATTGTATGTTCATAAACTTTCGCATCCCAAATATAATCAGTCATTTCATAACACACATCTCAATATCTAATAATCTAATTCTTGACATCCAGTGATCCGATTTGAACAAAAATATTACGATTCGATTTATCTAATCTATGTAATCAATAGTGGTATTTTCGCTCAAATTGGATCACTGGATGTCGAAATATTACATACTAAAGTGTCCGATTCATCAATTTTTCATTATAAATTGATCGCCAAAAAAATTAATCGGTCAATTTAGGACAGGATATCTTGATCTCCAGTGATCCTATTCGAACAAAAATAATACCATTTGATTCGTCTAATTAAAATGGTATTATTTTTGTTTGAATCGGATCACTGGAGATCGAGATAAATTGGTTGCTTCATTTTTGTTAATATCAAAAAAAATGAATCTGCTACTTAGGATGCAATATTTCGACATCCAGTGATCCGATTTGAACAAAAATACTACTGTTCGATTCGTCTCGGCTAGAAGAATCGAACAGTAGTATTTTTGTTCAAATCGGATCACTGGGTGTCAAGAATTAGATTATTGGATATTGAGATGTGTGTTATGAAATGACTGATTATATTTGGATGCGAGAGTGTATCAATGATCAGCGTTTGTGATCTCAGAAATTTCAGAACATTACACATAATTTTCGGAAAGTTATCCGGGGTCAGTTACTTATGCTGGGGACTGTATGTATACTCTACATGCTGCATTGAATTGTTCTCTTGGTCCAATATGACGCTTACTCTCGAGACAGTGAATATAATCAGTTATCTATACAGTCACATTTTATAGAAAAAACTTTGACTGAACCTTTTTCAAACCTTTTGGATCAAGCTCAAAAAACGTCTATTTCATTCATATATGTCAAAAAACAAAACTGTGTATTCTAGCTTAACTCCAGAATCTCTGGTTTATGTTTTGCACTATACAAACAGACCTCTGTATAGGCACCTCACCAACTCGTTTTTTAGAAACTGCTTATTAATAAAAATAAAATTATAAGCACTACCTCTATATATGCATCACAATTGTATATGGAGGTTTGACTATATACCGCACTTTAGCTTATTACTCTCTCACAGTAATTAATAACCGGCAAAAGACGTAAAATATAACAAGCAACTATCTCACTATAAGAGTCGCGTCAAATATTTCAAATTGAAAAAACCTCCAAAAGATGCAACATGAATCAAATATGCGGTCGAAATCAAGAAACCTTTTATCGCAGAAACGACGAGGACCAAAACCTCCGAATCAAGAGTAAAGTGTTTAGAAGGTTGAAAAAGGGAAGTGAATTGTTTCAACGGCGAAAAAATATACACTGATAAACCCATCGGTATAAAAACCGAGATCTTCAATAGTTCGGTATTGATCAGGATTTGAGTGGCAAACCGAATGAGTTTATAGTGCAAATTAAGATCCGCTTGATCTCAATGAACTCTGTATTTTTGTGCAAGCGAAAACCTTTCGTTGAGATTCTTCAGTATGGAATGTTTGCAAGCGCTTAATGATTTGATATTTCCAATTCAAAAATTTGAATTTGGATCCGAATATTCGTAGGTAGTTTGTTAGAGGTGTTTTTGGAAGAGGGGGAAGAATCGTTCTTTGTAAACGTGAATTGTACTCTACAAGAAAAAAGATTTGGTTATGTTCCTGTGTGAATTTCTCAGTCTTCGTGATTTGCTTCAACCTTCAATGATGAGCAACAAAATGGAAAGTCAGACCATTACATCGACAAAACGTCAAAAACTAAATAATCAATTGTGTGTATTTCGCTAAAGAAAGCAGTTGAGCATACACTTACGCCTAAATATTGCAATATCGAACTTAAATATCCTCGTGGTGGAAATTCAGTCGAGAAAGACGGAAGTGTGGCCGCTTGAATGCTGTGAAATTATCGAGGGGCAACGTTTTTTCGCCGAAATATCTTAGTGATGATCGCAAAGATGATAACCTTCCTAAAGTGAGTATGGAGGTCGTGTGTTGGATTTCGCTAATGATAGGATTTCGGTGTAGTAGTCGATACTCAAATGACAGACACCCGGTCGAATTTTGGAGCTTCCGACTATTACCTATCATTCGTTTTCTAAAGACAGTGCAAAACTCACCCCGCATAATGGAACTGGAAGAAAATTCATCAAAGTAATATCTTGGTTTGTCTTGCGCTGTAATCAGGAGAAATACTTGCTTCGTCTGGAAGACGACAAATATCGTTTCTATGATACAAGTATCGATAAAAAACATGGGCAAGCGAAGCGATGCTTAATAACGGTAAAGTATTATTTATGCATTTTCGGATAATGGTATTAACCTGAATGTTCTTTAGAATTGAATGGATTCGTGGAAAGGCACTAGCAATATTTTTATATCACGAAAAATTATTCTTTGTTTATCAGCTAATGCCAAATCAACAGTCTCGACCTATGTGCCCACTAACCAGTCAATCATTGCCTCCGACGATAGGTGTGGTAGTCTTTTCTGATGCTTTGGGTTTTACCATATCCAATGATAACATTCATGACAACCTTTTACTGATGTCAAAGAAGTGATCATACATATCCAAGGGGGTCGATTTTAAAAGATATGCTGTAAAATAACAGATAATCGATTTGAGAGTATTTATTTTTTATTTAATGTTCTTGTTCATTTAAATTATCATCTACACTACGAAATTGTCATAACTAAATAAAAATCAATTTATACTATTACTGTTATGTCTATATTCAAAATATCAATTTAATTTACTAATTTCCTGCTGAAGGTGTAATCCTTCTTCGTCTTCACTCACCCTATTTACGATTGTTCAACAAAAAAGAATTAAAAAATTGAGATACTAAACAAACCAGAAATGGAAAACAACAAACTGACCTCGGAAAATCTTCCCCACTATTCCGTTGGGTGTTCTCAGCATCAGCGCTGTGTCTTTCATCGAAATATTCTTCGCCATCTGGATCATCGCCAATATCAAAAATTGCACGATCATCTTCTTCATCATCAACAATCGTCGTGCTATTATTTCCATTACTACTCGGACGATCGCGATACTTTACATTGTCATACCCTAAATTTTCGGCCGCGCGAAGAGTATTAATTTCCAAATCCTCCACGTCTTCTTGTCCTAATTCATCACTCATCGCGAATGTATTTTCTCAGTGAATTAAGTTATATATAAAAAAAATTGCGACACATTGTAATAAAATGATAAGCAAAAAAAAGGATATCGTTTGTTATTCGCCGTCGGCCGCCATAAAACAACAATCACAATAAATACAATCAGATACAAGATATTTAACCATCCATCAAGCAAAAACCACTTCCAATGCCAATATTTTGCACGATAATCCGGATCTTCTCGAGTCCAATAATTCATCAGATTTATCACGAAAAATACGCCAAGCACACAAACCGAGAATAGAAGTAATCGAAATAGACGCCGATACATTAATGCTTTCACCTTTTGTCGTCGAACTTCAAGCGTCTGTATTGTCTGAGTTAATGATTGTAGCGTCCACATGTGAAAGATTGTCATTGTGAGCGCGAGAGGGAATATAATCAATAAGACTAGTGGACCACTGGTTTCTGGGTCAACCATCATTGTGCCAGCCGCATATATCACACCAAATATAAAGTGTGCGCCAGCTAGAAATCGACACTTTGTCATTGTGCTTCCTAAAGTAGGTCTGTTGAGTAATGATCAATATGGATATGAATATGTGGGTTGATAAGTTAATAATTATGCTTAATGTAGGCAAATAAACTTACTTTACAACACCGTATCCCATACAAACAATTAAAAGCATGAAAAATGATATAGAGTTTCGTCCTGCGTTTAACACTGCGACAACCCAGAGTAAAACTGTCGCTATAATTTTAAGAGATCACGTCAATTGTGAATTAAACTTCGTGTAGTATGTTAATATCAAAAATGCGCTGTCGTATGACATTCATCGACTTACACGGTGATCCATATGCATTATAGTTTTCCCAGTATCCCCAATTAAATGCCATCTCAATCATCAGGAATAGGATTACACCTGAAATATAGTTCTAAATAAATTTCGGAACATCATATTTTAGTTGCTATTAATGATATATTGTTTCCAATGATTTGCAATATATACTAATGCCATATATGATATTTACCTGCACTGGAAGAATTTCTCGCCAATGCATTATGCTTAGTACCATCCACACAATCCCTATCCCCAAATACACTAACGACAATAAACCGTAAAACTATAATGGCGTGTAAATGACAAGAAAATAAAATATCTAATCAGTTGTCTTAATCGATACTAAACTCGTTCAATGTGAATTTTATTATGCAAGTTCAATAAATTCAATAAGATTGCCATTTGTCACTAATCTCGATTATATCTAATCTAGTGTCGAAAAATTAACAATACGCAATTTTCTATAAGCAATCCTCCAAATAGTAGATATATTGCATTGAAGTGTATCAATTTTTACTAAACTTTATTAGCTTCTATGAATGAGCCTCCTTGAACAAACAAAATTCCAGAGAATAAATGATCGATCTTGAAAGTTTATACGCCTCCTCAATGTAGATTGCTAATGTATACTCATATATGCATTAAAGGCCATCGTACTAATATAGAGAACTGACATAAATAGCCAATTTGCTGCACATAGTAATACGATTTTCAAATAACTTTGTGCCCAAATATAATAATGCGGAATTTTCATGTTCAGAATAAAGATTCAGTCCGTTGACTATACTCATTTTCGTATCTTGATATCAGTGCGTCCTCGACTTTATAAAAATTCAAAACAATAAATAATGCTAGTTTTTTGACTCACCGGTAATTTCGGATAGTCACTGCCAGGTAACTCACCATACGGATTCCGCCAATCTATTATTGCGCTGAAGGTACCACCACCATCTTCTTCTACCTTTGTAGCAGCAACACAATAATAACCCGTCTTCTCCACTTTATTATATGTATATTTTGTTTCTGAAGTTCCGCTAGTTCCGCTAAATTTGAAGGCCTTCGTATCAAGAGTTCCTGGATCTTTGTCCGGGACAATGAAGCTTCCATATTGTGTGTCATTGCAATATTTTTTTTCAAGAGCCTCCTTGTTACATATTAAAACTTTATCATTCTATATTGATCAATTCAAAGGTTTGTTTGGTCAGTTCCGGGAAAAATGAATTAATAAAGGATTTATCAATTGTGAAAAATAAGCGTCACCTCATCTTCTGGATGTCCTAGTTTAGATTCATCTTTACTTTCGAAAAAAACTACTGCAACATCTACAGTCGGAATAGGCTCGAATTTTACTGTAAAAATGTGTCAGAAGGTAAATGTACTTTCTAAAGCTCTTCCTTTTTGAATTGTTTAGTTGCTTTTTTTACCTGTGATGGAAGGATCCACACCTCCCGGGATCGCGCTTTTTGCAAACATCCCAACACATATTTTATAATATTCTTCTGTCTTTACAGAATCACAAAAAAATCCAATGTTTTTGAGTAAAGAAACATACACCCATTAATAGTAATTTACAGGCTTATTATTATATATTTTTACCAAATCGTATAGTTCTGCTTGAGCAACTGCTATACACGAAGCAGCAAACACACAACCGAAAGACACCAGTCTTTTTAGATGCTTCCCGCGCATGTCCGAGTTTAAATTTCAAGAAATAAGTTTGAAGAAATTAAAATTGGCACACATACTATGACATGTAGCCTGGGAAAATATGATTGGGCCATGCTTAGTCATGATTAGTCTTGAAATTAACCCTTATACTCGATCGGATATTCTGAGACTAATAAATAAATCCTTTTTGTGTTTAGCCGAAACGACATTTTTTTAGCAAAAAATGTCGTTTCGGCTACAAAAAGGATTTATTTTACTTATTCTCGTTGTGATATAGAGAAGGAATTTTCACTTGATTTCGTTATAATGAATTAGCGACTCTTGTTCTTTATCATTTTGAAATCTGACTGTAGATTGCCTATTATATTTCTTTAAAATGATGATGTAATTATACGAAAGCTTTACTAAGGTGATTATATAAAACATGACTAGAGAATTTATTATAATTAATATGGTGCATAACATTTAAAGTCATCAAACGTTTGTATTTTATAAAGTGGATAAACTTCTTTCCTAAGAAGTAAATATAAAATTTAATCCGTGAATATGCTCAGAAAGGGCCTATTTTATCATATTCACGGATTAAATTTTATATTTACTTCTTAGGAAAGAAGTTTATCCATTTTATAAAATACAAATGTTTGATGACTTTAGATGTTATACACCATATCGATATAGAATAAATTTCCTATGATAAGTAACGGTTGATGCTGAAATTAACGCATCCTATTGGCTGATCAATTTCTCATTGGTCAAATGTGATACTATAAATTGTTTTATTTTTGAAAGAGAAACAAGTGAGTGAGTTTAATAACTAAAAAATGGTTTATCAAAAAAAAGGAGCAAAAATATACAAAAATAACAAAATAACACAATATATAAGAAATAAGATCACTTAGAGACAAAAATAAAAATATGATTATAAAAAGTATAATCATTTAATAACAAGAAATATATTTTATAATAAACCAAGTATAAATCACAATTCCAATAGATGAGAGATTAATTTTTAAGTTAAATTATTAAAAATAGATCATGTGTATTCATTTTTTTTTGGATATAATTATACTTTAAATTAAGTAACCAGTTTATTACTTAAGTATCATAACAAAAGTATCAAGACAGTATATTATTATTATTAATACAAGATAATTAATATAATCTTCGTAAATTCTTGAATTGGTATCATTTTCAATATTTAAATTTAATATATATAAATATAGTCAAATCGGATAATTATAACTATAAAAAGTATTTTATGGTGTATAACATTTGTATTTTATAAAATGGATAAACTTCTTTCCTAAGAAGTAAGTATAAAATTTAATCCGTGAATATGCTCAGAAAGGGCCTATTTTATCATATTCACGGATTAAATTTTATATTTACTTCTTAGGAAAGAAGTTTATCCATTTTATGAAATACAAACGTTTGATGACTTTAAATGTTATGTACCATATCTCGAGATTTTAATTAACAAATAAAATCCGCAAATACATAATTATCTATTTTTTTGTTTTTTAATTTGCTTGATGGTATGTAAATCGATGAGTTTCAGAATTGTGTAAATCTTTATATTATTGAATAAATAGTTATTTTAGCCACCAAATTCCAATTTTAAAATACATTTGTCCAAAAGATTATCATTTTTACGGAATATTTTATATAATCTTTTCTCACACAAACTACTGGAAGAATAATTAAAAAACATCAATAATAATTCTATTATGATTCTTGTTGTTGACGAGGTGGACGATCAGTATTAGGACGTCTCGGACCACGAGGACGTTCAGCAAGATTATTCAATGGCACAGGGTTGATCACATTAATACCCGACAGGTTTTCATGATTCAAAACTTTTAAGAGTTCCTAAAAATAAATAATCGTTGAATTCACTATCAAAATAAATATGCACACAGCTAATTAAAGAATAGAGATTTGATACTTTTGTCTCCGGATCAATCTCTATATTATCAATGGCCAGGGCTGAAACTTCTGGTACGTAGTTGTCTTTTCGTTCACGCTCTTCTTCCTGCAATTTGAAGGAAATACCACGAACAGGACCTTTTTGAATACGTTTCATTAAATGTGTTGTGAATCCAGCGATTTTATTACGGAGCCTTTTAGATCTGTGTTAAATAACATGTTTTTTATTATTGTGAAGTGACTATTGAAAACAATCTATTTCCTCTTAAATATGACAAGTAAAAAATAATTACGCGATAATTGCAACTTCATCACATATCTAAAAAAAATAAATTTCTTTAATCTTAACTAAACAAATAAAAAAAATCACGGACTACGGAGAATGATTAATATACTCTACTTTTTTGTTTGTTTGAAAGTCAAGGGTGAGGCGTGGATAATATTTTTCGATAATAACACGGGATGCCTTTTGTTAATTAATGTCACAGAAGTGAGATATAGATACAATTGAAGACCAAAAATGATTATAAATATATGAATTTACCTTCTTGACGGTCTTTGTTCTGACACGACCCTAATTATTAACAAAGATTTTAATATTAGACATTTATTCACTATCTACTGTTAAGAGACTCAAAAAATCTAAACCCCTTGTCTTGATTCCTTGTAAGGTATCAACTAAAGTAGAAAAAAACCAAACTCACCATTTTGACTTATCTGCTTATATTCCGAAAAAGTACGTGGAAAGACAGAGTAAAAGAGTGAAAGAGGAAGTTTCAAAAGTCAATGATCAACTAACAAAAAAATTCTTTGCCATTCAGTGATCGTCGATCAGGTGACAATCTTCCAGCATAATGTAATTAAATTAGCAAAACGCGATATGTTCCCTTCATTTATCATTTCTCTCGTTCTATTCTCCGCAGAATTCAAATAAAATCTTTTAATAAATCACGTTGGAATTTAAAACAGAAGAAAATGTCTAAACCTGCTTCTACTACTACACCAGCTCAACAACCTACCCAAGAATCGGGCGAACCTGAGCGACCTGAAGTCAAAGTGACTAATAAAGAATACGAGTACGCTGAAAGAATGATTACTACTATAGAGGATGAATTCGATGATGTAAAAGACACGCGTTTTTTTATAGTATTGCTCTTCCAGTCTGTCAGACAGCTTCTGACGCGTCTTTTTTCTTTTTTTGTAACTTATAATTATAGTATAATGAAGAGGAGGACGAAGACTATCAAGAACTTATCGAAGTTTGTTTATATTTTGCACTTTAATTGCTACGAAAATCCGTGTTTTTGTAAATTTACAAATAATAATACGCATTTGATTAACAATGTTGCATATTTATAATAGGAGGATGAGTCGGATGATGAAAGTGACGACGGTTCTGAAGAGATACAAATCGATCCTGAAGAGGTATTTAATAAGAACAAGCAATTTCAATAATCAAATTCACCATAGCATTATTAATCTCCTCTTTCTTTAGGTCCAAGACCTTATTCGAACAGCTGGTAAAAACTCTGAATCCTATTCACAATACTATTTTTATTTAGTTTCAACTAATGAATATTGTAGTCGCGCCACTCCCCGAACTGGTCAAAGAACAACTTCTTGACCCCACTGCCACGATGCTACGAGACGGCAAGGTTAGCCCTTTCAATTATTTTTCTACTTATTCATATACAATGAATTAACAATACAATAATTTAATAGAAAGTCACTTCTCCCATGAAGAACCAGCAAGGCATTGATCAAATCACCGAACAGTTCAGAGTGATGCTTACTTGAATGTGTGCTGCCGTCTTTTTCACATTTCTTGAAATCAATCACCTGATATCTATCTCTTCAATGTCTCACTTTTTACTAAACTTCTCAGAATTATAATCATTGGATAAATCTCACTCACATTCTGAAATAACCTCTTCGAGATTGCATTTATTTCACATACTCAATAATCATATATTAATAACATGAATTAAACTTAATTTATCCGATTTGTATTAACGTTTATTATATCGCATGAATTCGATTAAGTTTTAAAATGACATCAACGAAATTAAATTCATTAATAGCGTATACAGCATTTATTACGCGCGAAAAATGATTATATTGAATTCCTTTTTTATTGATATAATGATCTGCTGTTGCCACTAAGAAAGAATTCAACATTATTATTGGCAGGCTGAATAATAGCAAAAAATTGATCTTAAATTAAATCTAGCTTCCCAAGATAATTATGCGGCGGTAATCATAAATAAATCCGCAATATATAAATTTTATATAAGAAAAGGGATTTGATGATGCACGGTTAATTGTTTGCTCTTTGACAGAAGCATCAAAGAGAACAACAATAGAAAACAATTGCCAAAGATACAATCCCCAAAGACTAAATTGCCGGTGATACATAGATACATATAAATAGACAAGTTAGCAGAAATCAAAAATAGATCTTTATTCCATATCCATATGAAACATGTCATGATCGTGATCCTTTGGTTGTTCTAGAAAAAAAAAGAATCAATATTATTTTTTGGTAATTTTTGTTTGGAATGAAAGTGGAAAATAAAAGCACAAAGTTTACCATGAGAATGACCATCTTCAGCAGCACCAGTTAGTGGCTTCGTCTGATGATTATTACTATTAGTCTCAGATTCGTTTGACTGTTGATGTAAGCTGGGGAGAGCGGGTTGAGGTGGAGCCAAATGCCCCTGGAATTGAGTTGTCGCTGAGGAGTTATCGTGAGCAGTATGATGAGGATTAGGTTTGGTCACACCGGGGATAAAAGCCAGATTGCTAGGTGGAGTTTTTGCCAATGGAGAATTGGCAAGGTTCAAGAGTGTACTACGATCATAAACAATCCTGGAACCTATGTAATTACCAAGTATTGTCACATTTACTAATTTAATATAGAGTCTCTATACAGTATGGGCTGTCTTGTGTATTTGCGTGTGTTGATCTAAAAATATATATTATCTAATTCGTAAGACCACTATATAGAATTCTTGTGTTTTTTATCCAAATAGTCAAGATCAATCATGTATAACTTTCTAAATAATACACTTGGACATAGAGAGTATATGCAAAAACTTGCGTGTATAATTTTAACGAAAAATGTCTCGTTCGGAACACAAAGATCAAGCCCGAAAAACAAACGTATTCTGTTGTCAAGCTCTGAAAAAAAACGCAACACAAAATACAGACCTCCGGGTGTACTCGAATAAATAGTGCCAGCAGGTGTGGTGCTAAAATGAGTAGGATGAGGTACACCAGGCTCAGCCTTTTTAATGGCAGGAATGTCCCTCGCGGTTGTCGTTGATGACATCTTTTGCTACCTACTACTACTGTTATGAGGAGAGTCCGCACAAGCGCGAGAATAAAAGCGATAAAGAACAAAAAATAGCTAGTCTCTCGTGAGGATCCTTGGACGACGAAGAACGAACCGGCGGATGGTCAAATAGTGGGTGCAGTGATAGACTATATAAACACATCTGCCTACTTTGGGATGGTTGTGCGACATGCGTAATTGAAGTAAATGAACTCCCTTTTTGATTCGGAGAAAATAAAAAATGTGAAAAATATGGAAAACAGATGTCAAAATCTAGCTTGAAGTACTATTAAAAAATGTCGAAAAAGCAATTTTACATATAATCTTATCCTCAGCTCTAACCTAACCCTAATCCAAACGATAAAATAACCTTTAACATCAATTTCCTTTGATCACGTGAGCGTGGATTTTTGAAGGCCACGTGTTCCTGCATTATCCATCCGTAGACTTCCCGTTTTTGATTTATTTAATTAGCACGCACGTGAAGATTCAAAAAATTTCAAAAAATTTAAATACTGGTCAAGAAAAATATGGAAGGGAAATAACCAAAATGAAAATTACTATCACCTCACGCTCTGGGAAATCCCAAAAATCCCTAATTACTCTCGACGTGCCTTCAGACGCCAAAGTTGACCAACTAAAGCGAGAAATACACAAAAAACTGCCAAAATATTACCCGGAACGTCAACGACTGACGTTTGATAATAAGCTACTTGAAGACAAAACTTTGGCAGAATATGGTATTCGAGATGGAGATACTGTGTTATTTAAAGATTTAGGTATTTCAGTTGTAGAATATATATTATTAACGTATTTACAGGTGGAATTTCGTTGTTAATGTGAAAGAATTTGGTTTTTCACAGGAGTACAAATTGGCTGGCGAACTGTATTCCTTATAGAGTACATTGGCCCTCTTATTCTGCACCCAATATTCTATTACTTCTCTACCGGAATTTACGGGAAAAGCTTTGAACATAGTGAAATGCAAACGTGAATAATTATAATAAATATTATTATATCAATTAATAAAAAAAAACCAAACTAACTACTTTCTTTTATTCATAAACAAGCATCACTTTTTATTTGGTGCTAATTCATTTTACAAAACGCGAATTGGAAACAATTTTCGTACACCGATTCTCTCATGGTACCATGCCACTCTTTAACATCTTCAGAAACTCGGGGCACTATTATTTATTCAGTGGCTTGAACCTCGCATACTGGGTTTACGGTCCGTGGAATGCTAGAGGTACTGTTGGTGCTGAACGAGAAAAATGGTATATCTGGACTTGTGTTGGAGTTTGGACTGTAAGACCTTTTATCTTTATCTCTCTTTTGACGATCATGATCGATTCAAACCTAATCTAAAAACTTGTATTTTTAATAGTGGGCGCAACTTTCAAACTTAAGCGCGCACATAACGCTTCGTAATCTTCGTCCACCTGGCACACGTGTCCGAAAAATTCCGTATGGTTATGGTTTCGAATTGGTCTCGTGCCCGAATTATTTCTTTGAGCTTGTTGCTTGGGCTGCTATTGTGGCATTAACGAAATCCGGTGCAGGTAATTAAGCTTGTTCAATTTTTTCAGTATCATGTTTTAATATGAATATAAACGATATATTAACTCATTTTCTAGCATTATCCTTCCTTGTCATTGCTGGTGGGATAATGTACCTCTGGGCTGTGAAAAAACACAAAAATTACCGTAAAGAATTCAAAGATTACCCTCGAAACAGAAAATCTATGATTCCATTTATAGCCTAATACTAATAATAATCAGACTAAAGACATTGATTGTCGGTTTATAGTTGAAATACTTTTTTTTTATCCGTATTCCATTAATAAAATTCGAGATTTTTTTACATTGCAAATTCAGAAATATGAGTCACAATGATTTGAGAAATGAAGTAGAAATTTTTCAAAAAACGCGGATCATTAAACTTTTTATTGTGTGCAAAGAAATGAATCCCGCTTCGCCTTTCTCGCGAACTACCACTGCTTTGTTATACTGGAAAAGGCTCTCAAAGCCAATTTACTTCCGAAAGCCGTTTAACCGTATAGATTATCATCGTTACGGGTACGGGTTATATAACTTTAAGCATTTTCGAGTAGCGTATACGACTGACGCCTCGTCTTTGGATATGTCTGAATCCTCAACGATGCCACCAGAGATACTGGAGAATACACCACCAACGCCAAAGTCAACGCCACCAATCAAGACTAAAGCAAAAAAAAAAAAAAAGGAAACAAAAGACGCCATGATTAGTGCAATCGAGGCACCAGAGATACTGGCGAATACATCACCAGCGCCAAAGTCAACGCCACCAATAAAGACTAAAGCAAAAAAGAAAGGGGGGAAAGCAAAAGATGCCATCATTGAATCAACTGAAACATCAGCAGTAGCAACTGAATCCTTTACACCAACAGAAACAACAAAAACATCAAAAGTAGCCACAGAGATAACAGAAGCAACAACTACTAAAAAGCGAACAAAGAAAATGTCAGAAGACATCTCAGACACCACAAAAAGAATCCTGAAGCTAAGACTACGTAAGCCAGAACTTCTGCCAATCGAAAAGGTCCCCGAACTTTCCAAAGGCCTACTAAGTGACCTTTGGGTCGAACGATACAAGTTAGCCACGAAACTCCGTGTCAGTCCACCACCAGAATTACCAAAAATAGAATCAACCGACTCAGCAATCGAGGGATTCAAACCCATCGGTGATGAATTACGTTCGGTGCAAATAGGACTCGCCGCGTATAAGCGTTTAATCACCGACGTGTATATGGGATTCACCGTGCACCAGCTGCAACTTTACCTAAAGAAACATAAACATTCTTCGACGGGTAAAAAAGCCAAATTGGTAGAGTCGATCATTAGTGATGTATGGAAAGTTGAAGATCCGTACCAGAAAATTATTGGTCAAGAATGTATGTCTCATAAAATATCGTGTATTATACGACTCGTGCGTGTGTGATTTTCTTCCGGGGTACTTTTTATTGTTCCAAAATTCATCACAATCTAATCTTTTTATTGTTATTATTATAGCTGTGAGATGCGATGCAAAGGACTTATATTTCTTGATAGGTCCAGGTATTACTGTTATTATGCGCATCTTTTCGTTTTGTATTCTGATTTTAATTACTACTAATATTATTATACAGAGGCCGAAACTTTACAAGAAATCGAACAAAAAACTCCTGTAAAAATTCGTATCAACGTTTCCACATTTTCTTACACGATAACGGGGCCTCGATCAGAACTTCCAAAAGCCAAGAAGATTATTGCCGAATCGACGGTGATCATTTAATTCATAATAAAAAGTATTCTACATATAATAAACTAATGATAGTCTATTTATGTGAATTATGAAATTTCAAGCAATACACATCACGCACAGTGGAAGTGCCTCCAGACATAAAGGTAGACAACCGTGCCATGTCAGAGATTTTACCCTATATACAAGATATATGTAAGAATTCAGGGGCGTATGTTGAGATTGATGATGAAAATAAGGTACGAAAGTCAAATCAATATAATTGTGTGACTCTTCATTTTTTCCTTTTATCATGAATGCTAATTGTCTTGAAATTAAAGCTTATAATTTCTGGTCGAACGTCTACTAGCATCGAGGAAACAGTCCGGTTATTAAATATAGCTTGGGCTAAGGTCATTTATTTTTTTTTAAGTCGATAAACTCTTAGAATTCATCATACTAATATTATGTTGTATAAATATAGCCTGATCACAATGAAAATCGAATAACAATGTGTAGTAGTATATCTCAAGGCGCTCTAAACTATTCTCTATTTCCCGTACATGACTGGCAATCAATGTCACTGTTTATAAGACATTTGAATTGGTGGCGTGTTGGTAGAGTTTTCGATCAAGTAAGAGATTAATTTATATCACAATAATGAATATATGGTTTTGGCAAAAATCAGCACATAACCAACCATAAAATTATTTTAAAAAAGATCACGGACATCTCCCTAATAGAAAAACCAACAATCTCTGATAAATTATCTTCCATAAACAAGAGTCCAAAGTATTTTTTGTCATATATGCCTATTTACATTCGTTCAGGCAATAATTGATTGTTGATCTTTTCAGCATGAAACATATTAAGGTAGATCTCGACGATATCGAGTTTTCGAAGTTCGGCGAGTTTCTGTGGACGTATCTGGCGGCGAATGATAATGATCAGATAACGAGTATCTCCGATGTGGAAGTATATTCGGTGTAAGGATTCGTTTAAGAGAATTGTTTGATTTTTATTTTGTCGCTTGATAGAAAATATTAATTAGCTTTTATGGTAATAATATCATAGGTTTGGACATATTTTATTCCATGACAATTCTACAAATAATCAGAATTTGTTCATCCCGCCGCTTATTCCTCCGTTTCAGACTCTATTCAGTCGTGAGGGATATACAGATTGGATGAAAGTAGCTGAACCTACCCAATATTTTTTGGCAAAGTAACAATAAATATTTTATGCTTTTTTCTCTTTTATTTATTAATACACTCATACGTTTTGTCCGATTGTTTAATAGTTATCCGTATCTTGGACTTGTGAGAGAACTTAAACCAAATTCAACAACAAAATTTGTTGAACTTGAATACCAAATATCAAATCAAGAGGAGGAGGAACGAAATTCCGAAATCATTCCTACAAATCCGAAAATTGAACGCGTCAAGTTAAAATTCGAGCTGGAAAAAGAGCAAATGGTGTTGAAGTCGATAGAAGGATCCAGGCAAAATTTATTAGTGGATATGTTAATGATGGATAGGTATGCATGGGGAGTAAAGGTAATTATTTAAAATTTTACTGTTAATTTATTTTATCATTATTTTTTATCATCAAAAAAAGACCATCAGATTTCCGCATGGTAGCGTCGCGAAAGATAAAATTATCAGCTTCTGATGTGCTTCCGGATGGTTTTCTTGAAGAGTGTTCATATAACAGGTTTTTTTTTTACATTACCATGTAATTGATTTATCTGAATAATACGTGGAAACTTAATTTTAGTAACCAACCTTTTTTAGTTCCCATTTGAAAAATATCCAATGCCCACCTACATTGACATTTAAATTGTCCGAGGATGATATTAAAAGTCAGAAAAGATCACCTTCATATAAGCTAAATCGAGTTTTGGTGCACAATAATCGAAATTTCGAGTATAAAGGATCATTATTGGTGGCTGGTAATACGCGAGAACAAGAAACAGGGGTAATAAGGAACGAACTGAGATTGTATCAGATTCCCACATCCACAAATACAACCGCATCAAAAACAACCGCCACTGGACGAAATAATATTATTTCGTCGCCGGCTTCAAATCATCTCCATCAACGAAAGAATAATCAGGACAAAGATTTAGATAGTAGTTCAATCGCAGATTTTTCATCATTATTTGACGATGATTCGCATACCACCTCCGAATCACCAGATGGCATCCGAGGGATAGATGACAGTGATTCTTTGGATGCTTGGTCACCGTTTAATGACGATGAAGACGATGCAGACGTAGACGATGATAATGTTAATGTTGATAATCTCATTTTCTTGAAAAGTGAACCACCACCAACAAAAGAAGCTTTCAATGATGAATGGCAGACTTTTATTTCGAATTGTATAGAAATTTCTAATAAAGAACAATATAGTTTTATTAATAAAAAGAAGCTTCATTGATAACATAGAATATTAATTTTAATTTGTTGATGGTATTTGTAATATAGAATTTATTCAGATCGCACGCAGCTGGGCGAAAGTAACTTTATTGTTGGTAATTAATAGAGCGTCGTGAAAGCAAATCTTCCTATCTACTCCAATCTCAAATTGAAGTGGTGATTATGTGGTGATTATTTAGTTTTCACAATGTAACAGTCATTACTTCTTTTTGAGATTTCTCAAGCAACAATTCAAATGGTTCCAAGTTACCATCACCTATTCAACAAAATCAATAAATAAATAAGCATAACACAAAAGAGAGATAATGCGATAATATAGTTGAATTACCGCGCGATTCTGCCGCCTGTCGTCTCTTCAAAATCTGGTCACGATTATGTTGGATACAAGCCAGTTGACATTTTTTTATAGTTCCTTTTTTTGTTAAAAGATTATAAAAAGATCACGTGAATGCAAAGAAAAAAACATAATTTTTTAATACCTCCAACATGTAATACATGAACTAAACAACGACGCCCACGTATCTCATTGATAAATGTTAATGCCCCCCAGATAATACGATAATGATCACGTGATACACGCAAGATCCCGTTATTTGTGAATGGGGAAAAGTATTTTACTATTATATAAAAATTTAGATATTTCTTATTAAAGGTAACGGTAATAATGCTCGAATTCTTACCATTCAACGAGCTGCTCACACATCCTATCCCGACATCACCGAAATTAAGACAGATAGAATCACGTAGTGCGTGATGAATCTCTTTAGTGGTTATATAGAGAGTATTTGACTGTGTTTGTGGTTGTTTTGTAGATGAGTGTTGTCGCCAGGATGATGGTTGTGCTGCGTCGCCATCCTCACCACCACTAGATATTTGTTCGTGTTGTTGGTGTCGTGGTAGTAATGATGGAAGTGGAGGTATTTTGTTGTCCTCAAAAATTACTTCGAAGAGAATCCATCGATTTTTGATACGTACCATTTTTTATTTGCTTCGAGTGGGCAAAACAAAGATTATATACTTTAATTCCATAATTTATCATGAAATTTGATGTGCTAAATATTACCTTTACGATAAATGATATATTATGCTATATTACATCAGTGGAAACCATTATTTTCTAGGTGGCATAAAGCCAAATGAAGTTTTTATTATATTACGCACGAAGTTATGCATTTACCAAGGGTTATCCAAAAATCTAAAGTTAGATGAACAAACTAAAAACAAAACAAGCAAGTTATATATATATATATATATATATTTCTCTCTATTTATATATATATACTAATAAAAAATGGTGAATACAAAAAGGGTGAATGATAGTTTTTACTCTTTGGTCAACGAGGGTGACTTTTCTCTATATGTATCTTACAATCATAATAGGTTAGAATGCATATATTCGTATATACAGAAAAAGAGGAACACAAAGACCTTTTTATTGAATAATTTAACCAAAAAAAAATAACAGAGTTATTGAAAGAACTTTGGGCGTTTAAACCCCGAAAACAAGCCTTTCAACGACCATTTTGACGGTGAGATCTCACCATCTGCAGAAGGTGTCCCAAGGGGACTGTGATCGCTTTCGTCGCCGGCGGAATCTTCTTCATTGCTCTCTTCTTGGCCATCGGCGAACTCGCGACGATTACCACGGTTTTTTCTTCTTTGATAGTCGCCGTCGTAATCCTCTTCACGAGATTTACGCTTTCGCAAGTGCTTCTTTTTTGTGATTTCGATATCTACCATCAGTGCTTCTCGTGTTCGTGGATGTTCCCCATCAATAGTAGTCTTGGTCTTTTTGATGGAAGATTCTGCTTTGTCATTCTTATTACCACCATTACTATATTCCACATCTTGCATTTCTTCGAGTTCCGAGGACCCGATGGATTCTTTAGCAACCGGTAGCATCTTTTCTTGGTTTTCTTTGGAGCTGCTTTTAGTCGGTGACAACAATGGAACATCGTAATCATCTTGAAGTTCATCATGTTCACGTTCTTGGTCATCATTTGATAAAGGAGTTCCTTCCAATTCGTCGTGCTCATCACTGGAATCGGATTGTTCTTGTCGGAGCTTTGGAGGTACTGATTTTGGTGGTGGCTTTGAGGGTGGTGGTGGTGCTGATGATGACATGTTCAGTAATAATAGACTGCTATTATAATTACGCACTTCTTCGTCGTAATTGGTTTTTGCGATGTTGTATCGATCCATGTAGACCTTGAATCGAATAATATATTATCGAGTTAATACAAAATTAGTTGGCGTATAATAGATAAAGTAAGCAATAGAAAAACATTAATCACCTGTTTATCTTCTTTGGAAAGGTTTCGCCACTGCTCTGACACCACACGTCCAATATGTGGTGCATTCAATGCACCCGGCGCCGACTTCTGCTTCATCAATGAACACTGTTCTGCTAAATACAATGCATAGGGATTGGCTGGTTTCTTTGGTCGATTAACGTCCTTAACTTTTCGTTGTTTACGGTTGTTTTTTCGTATTTTTGTGGTTGGAGTTTGTTGTATTGATCGATGACCAGTGTTTTGTGTCAAGACGTCTTTATTGTTGACGTCGTGTGACGTTGAAGATGATGGTTTAGCTTTGCTATTACGTTTCGACCTTTTTGGTGGTGTTGATGTAGCGGCGCTAGTAGAAGCGAAATCGTATTCGATTTCTTCTTGTTTAATTTTTATTGGAGTTTTTTCTTCAGTAATTTCTTGAGATTCGATATCTTCTTCGCGATTGGCGTTATAGATTTTTATATTTTCTTCGTATTGCTTTTTTGAAATCTGGTATCGATCTTCGTATAACTTCTTCCGATCGTGAGACAATTCTTTCCATCGTTCACTCACAATCTTACCAACATGCGGCGCGTGCAATCCACCAGTGCTCGACTTTGTCTTCATCTCATCACACTGTTCCATCAAAAACATCATGAATGCGTTTGGCGGCTTCTTTGGACGATTAGGATCTCGTACCTTTTTCGGTTTTTTTCTACGTGCGTTAACACGTCGTGTATCGATCGAGTTGTCGAGATTGTTTACTTTTGCTGGGATGAATTCCACGACGCGAGGTTCTGGATTGTTGTTATTATTAGCAGTTTTGTTGTTGTTGTTGTAATGAACTTGTGAATTGTGATATATTGGCGGCGGCGGAATCAAGCTGTTGTTGACGATGGACATCTTTGCGTGTATGGATTTGCCACCTTCTTCTGCAATGTATTTTTGTACAACTGCGTCCCACGTGGCGTTTTTGTCGTTGTTTACTGTTGATAGATCACGAAGTGTTGAATATAGCTTTTGGAAGTTCCTGCTTGCTTTTTCAGCAGCGCTAGCAGCCTAATGGTGAGGATGATCATCGTGGTAAATTCACATATGACTATTATAATTAAGATCGAAAAATGAAAAAAGATCCAAGATTACCTTTTCGACTTTCTCCTTAATCCTTTTTAATCGTTCATGATTCACCACATTTTCATCTTTCAACAATTGTTGATCGACCGGAAGAAATTCAAAGTCAAGGTTGATTGGCGGTGAAAATGGCACAGCTGGATTTGGTACGAGCTCCATTTTTTAGTGATGGTTATCGATATGAGGTGAGTGTTGTTATCTTTTTTTTTAAGGTGTAATGATAAAGAAATTAATTAATTGATTGTCATTTATTATTGCACGTGAACACGTGTTTCAAGACACCGAGGTGACATATACGAAAGTCTGCGAAACTAGAAGAACACGTACTTTTCTCAAAAATGAAACCGGTGTATGGTACAGATATATGTTTGTGGATACTAGGGGTTCAAAGGCCATATACGTTATGGTATAAACAAAGGTTAATTGTCGGTGCGCGGTGATATTTTCTTTACGAAAATAATCTCCGTTACTCTCACCAGGTGCTAAGACGACCCGAGATTGGAAAAGAAATTCCCCAAATAGCCAAGCTAGAAGAACCTTCAGAAAAACAGGTATGACAAGACTAAATGTAATACGTATTTGTTATATGTAAATGGACGAGGTAGTGGATAGTAGTAGTAACAATAGTAGGAATAATAATAGTAGGAATAATAGTAGTAGGAATAATAGTAGTGGTTCTGAGCAAGATATTCTAAGTAGAAAAAAAAGTGGGTGAACGTGTCTATTAAAATAATAAAATAGTGGATAATAGGTTCTAGTAAAAAAATGATAATACTAAAAAATACTATTAAGGTATAAAACTAAAAAAAGTAGTAGAGGTTGAAAAACACCTCAACACACAAACAATTATTTATTATAATTAGTATACCGTTAAATATAATTATAAGTCGACTACTTGTCAAGTATCGGTATTATTATTGTTGTGTATTTTTTGTGTGTAGTGTACGTGTTAGTTAGCTTTGTTGTAACAACAAAAAATTTTTTTATGATGATGGTGGTTGATATTGCATTGCTAAGTCGTGTGTTCAATCAAAATTTATTTTATTTATTCTACTTTATATACGTATAACTCAATACATAGTTAAAAAAATATTCGACGAGTACGTCTAAGCCGAATCATGCATAAATCATCAGTGGTTGTTATTGTTTGTTGTGTGAAAATAATTTTTCATGGTTTAGAATTTGATTTTTAATACCACCACCGCTTTGACCGATGCGATGTTTACGAATTATCATAAAATTATGCAGCTAATTTTAATCCCAATTAAAAAAACAAAATAACTGGCAGATTTCGCTCATTCATCCATTTTCTGTTGTGTTGTGTTGTTGTTTCGTCGTCGTCGTCATTTGTCGTCGTCGTACATCGATGATGGTGATGGATTATGACTGAGCTTCAAAACAGATAATACGTAATAATAATAATAATAATAATAATACTACTACGTAATAGTAACAATAATGATAATACTGTGAAATAATCTTTTATTTTTATTTCGAAAAATACATTTAAATAAATGAACCGCACGATTATCTTTAGAATGGTCATTATTAAGTCAAATAAATAAAAACAATAATCATCGATAATGAAAAATAATAAATTTTATATTAAACACAAAAATCGTTCGATTTTGGTAAGAGTTCCGTGATTGATAAAAGATGTATGGTGTAGAATTGGATATCGATATTATTATCGTTATTGATTGTGAATGGAAAATAGAATTACGTATTTAAAATTAACATGAAAGAAATACGCATGTGCAGATTGGAGCATAATCATCTATCACACCTACTACGTATTGTTATTATTTACATTCTCGTTATTGTCTTTCTATCTATCTTTTAAATCATCTATTTGGCTAAATTCCAGTTTTGAAAATTCTAAATGAAATTCTCCTTTCATTAGTGTTGTGCGATAGAATTTAGTATTTGCACAAATGTAAAAATATATACATATGTATGTACGTATGAATTATGCATCGTACAAGTTTCAAATAATTAATGAATTATAAACTGGTTATATGAACACGATACGAAAATAAACTAATGTTAACTCTCGGTCATCATTCAATAAGGTTTTTTAGAGGTGACAGAAGTGAAGATTTAACGGTTACGAGTTGTCACTTGTTAGATACCAACTACAAAATAAATATTCGGTATTAGAGAACAATTAATCAGCCTCCATTTCTTGGCATCTTCTTATGGTAGAACAGAGTTTGGAGTCTAATCCAGAAAGCATTACGTGTTGCCTAAAGTGTCATTGTCGTATATCTGTAACGATTTTCCTTGATTAGACCATAAACATCTCTCAAAAGAATTTTAGAATTTAATGCAATTCTAGCATAATGTAATAAAATTAATAGAGAAATTACTTGTAGAATTTGTATTAAAAAGCTCCAAGTTCTATATTTTCTTTGATATATTATTCCGAAATTGATTATACAAAGTCAATTATACAAAGTCAAACGGATACCGTAATTTGCCGCATAAACCATCCCCCTCCATAGTAGACCCTCCCTTCCTTTTTACTAATAATTTTCTTTTTTTTTTTGCTACGTAATCAAATTTTCTGGCGAAATGTAACAGATCCCGGGTGGTTATGCTGCAAGTTACGGTAGTCTGTCCATTAGAGCTAGGACTTCTAAAATCCAGTTTAACGAGGTTTAATTCATCTCAATCCTGTTTATCGGGATTTTCCGGTTTATCAAGAATCTGACTTATCGAAATTCACCATGTATATATATTGAATTTGTCACATTGTTTCTGAATAATTGTATAGTATAGTTGCTACTTTGTTAAATACACTTTGCTTGCGTAATACTTTTTTATATGAATGCTTAAATGCTTGACATACAATCAAACATCTTTATGATCATCTCTTCCCAAAAAGAGATATAATTACATGTATAAAAGTATTTTCTTATAATAACTAATAATAGAGAATAGCTCGAATGACAATATGAAGGGTGTAACTATAAAACGGTTTCACTATATTATATTAGCTTTATCTTATAAGAAAAAACGATTTAAATATAATAGTTTATTATATTTATTTATGTTTATATATTATTTCTTATAAGAAATTATCATATAGCACTACTTAAAGTACTCTTTTCTGTAAAAACTTGCTTAATTTGATCCAAATTTTTTTAGGTGACAGAAAATATACGTAGTATTATATATAAATTTAATTAATATTTTATAAATAAGTGAGAATTAAAAGAATCTGATTTTAAATCTGTGTTTCTGATATAATAAAGTCTTTCAATTTCTAATTAAATAACTTAAAAAAAACATTAATACTTAAGCTTTTTATTTTGTAATTTTTATAAATATAAAAATATATAATTGATTTTTGAATAATAACAAATAGATATTCTAAATCTATATTTTTAAACTAGTAAAGTTTTTCAATTTTTAACTAAATAAATTTTTTTACTAATTTAATATAATTTTTATACTTACAAAAATACATAATGAATTTTCAAATAGTGATAATTAATTAAATTATCACAAATATATTTGCAATTTAACAAATTATTATTATTTAAAAATCAATTATATATTTTTGTACTTATTAAATTAATAAAATAAAAAGTTTAAATTTCAAAGTTTTTTCAATAAAAATATCAAGTTATTTGATATAATTAAATTTAAAGCTTTATATGAGTCAGTTTCAAGTTTTTTATATTAAACTTTTTTTATTACAATAAAACTTTCAGTTTCTATATTGATTCATTTAAATTTATAATTTTTGTTAAAATATATATATATATATAGATAAATACAATTTTTATATTCTTTATAATTACAATATAAGTTATTGATAAGTAGCAAACTATAAATAAAAAATATTTTGTATAATCATATTTCTTTATAATAATTCAATTTGATTTTCTCAAAAAAAATGTGTAAACAGATTTGATTGTATCAATTTTGTATAGAACTTATTATGTGCTATTCTGTACATATATGGATTTCTACCAACTCATCCATTTCCAAAAAATTAGCTAATAAATGTTACTTTCTAAATTTGAAAAATGTATTAGTCCAATCTCTATAAAATTTTTAGTTGTACAGAATGGTTATACTATATCGGATATATATCGATACAGTTAAGGCAACTATGTGATGGATTTTTGTCCAAAACATGCGATATCTTAAATCACGATGTTATTTTCTATATATAAAAATGTAACATGCCAATACCGATATATCGTTAATCGAATCCCGACTGTGTATGCATTTAATAACTATAAAAAGGGCTTGTGTAATGTAAATCTTGCCCAAAATTTATTTTCACGTAGACATGTAATTCTTCATGTGCACCGTATAGTATTCGATAAATAATTTTATTTTAATATGTAGATATAAACTTTGAATACTTTTACGGACAAAAGTACGTAGTGTGTATATCAAGATCATTACAAGTTAAATCTAAGCCATTCAAGCCTTATCGTTATTCTTTGTGTCAATTAATTAAATGATATATTTCCATAATTGTTACTGGAAAAAATATATTTTGAATTATTAACACATGTATAATATTATACATGTACAAGTTGCATAAATATTACATGTACATGTATAAAGAAAAAGAAAAAAACAAAGAGGCGGTGAAGTTGCTTTATAGCGTTGTTAACGTTTTTTGTGTTTCTATTGTTGATGTTGTTTTATATTTTGAGGCGTGGACTAGTTAAATATTAATCTAACAGAGATATGATAATGGAAAAAAGAACATTCTCCTTTTAGAACTAGAACCAAAGTTATATTATTTATGTATGTGCATATGTATGCGTGTGTAAAATATTTTAGATGTCCAAATTCCTTTCATAATATTAAAAAGCAGCAGCACATACACATTCCAAAATAATTATTTTGGTGGAACCAATCGTTTCTTTGCTGTTTATCGTCATGATAACAGTAAATAAAATCGGAGTCAGAATAATCGAAATCATTAATGCAATTGCAAATTTATTAAAAAAGAAACCATACCCCAAACACACAAGAAATGCACACATATACTGTAACATTACCATACGCATTTAATGTGCATATCATATATGCAATTTTTCGAAATTAGATAATTGCATTCAATGATACACTCTATTATTAAAAAAAATATTTCTAATTTTTTCCGTGATTTCTCATAAAACCCTCTTTTCATTAAAGAATGTGTTTCTCTAGAACGAAAATGGGTTTATCCCCGACATATTACGTATAACATATAATGCTCCTAATTAATTTTTCGGATGTCAAGCATAAAAATCTGATTTTTTATGTCGTCGTTATCGCTATGTGTCATTGTTGAAAGTTATGAAATTCCTGTATTTTATCGTTATCGTCTTGTGTTAGGGCTTTATTGAGATTATGACTTTATGCTTCTGTGATGACAACAAAAGGTAATAGTTTAATTTGGTAATTCCTGGCAACACTAGCAAAACAAAGAATTCTATGTTGTATACCCAATAAAAAACCAGTTTTTCGTTTTATGGTGCATAACATCTAAAGCCATCAAATTATAAAATGTATAAACATCTTTACTAAGAAGTAAATATAAAATTTAATTTTAATCCGTGAATATGCTCAGAAAGGGCCTATTCTATCATATTCACGGATTAAAATTAAATTTACTTCTTTGTAAAGATGTTTATACATTTTGTAAAATACAAACGTTTGATGACTTTAGATGTTATGCACCATAAAAATAACAAAATTTTATGTTAAAAGTCGGCTCTTCCAAGTACATATATATGATCTTTCTTTTTTTGCTTTCATTCTGCATGTGTTGTAAATAATTAATTGGGGTAAACAGTGTGTTTGTGTGACACAAGACATCACAATGGTGAACCTTAATGTTGCCGTAATGCTGTTATTATGCAATTTTCACAATATATGATTGATGGATCGCTATCGAGAATAGAAATACGTCGTACATACACAAAGATATAATCTCTGTTATTGTTCGGTGTTGTTATCGTTATCGTTATTGGTATAATATTTATGTTCTCGTAATTGTGAAAAATATGTCGTGCTTTTTTAATGTCTTTATGATAAAACTGAAGAAAGAAAAATGGATTTTCTTAGTCGAAGTACATTGATAGGCCAATTTTGGATAATAGAAGTGCTCAAGCATCTTTTAAATTACGCGAATTGTTAAAAAGATCACTTTCTTAATATCAAATTTTATTGCTCGAGGCCATAACTGAGTAACTTCGCAAGAATTACAAATTTTATATAAATTTATAATTCCAACAATTTCGAGAAATAAGGTTCTGTGCGCTTATTCTGTTTAGAACTACGTATATGATTGCTAGTTCGAGACACTAAAGTCTAGGTCGGTGTTTACCAATACGAGTAATTTCCAGAATTTGAAAAAAAACGAGTTTTTGTTTGCATACGTAATATTTGATGTTTGGATAAATACTGATTTTCAAACATTCACCAAATTTATTGATTTCCGCTTTTGCTCCAACGAAGAATTTTGTTGCAATTTAAAATGCTGATTTTTATTGTTTGTTAATTTAAGCTTGAAAATGATTCATCTCAGGCTAAGCTCGATTAGTAAAAGTAAAATTCGAGCAAAATGTCCGTGAACTCCAGGAAAATGTACGCATAACCTAACAAATTTGAAGATAAATTCACAAAATGCGGTACAACAATAACATAACTGATAGAATTCAATTAAATTCATCGAAAATTTGGCAAGAATTCAATAAGGTACATGTACAGTGAGCGCTCGTTACAGTAACACTCTTTAAGATAACATCTCGTTATACTAACACAAAATCTATCATTACTGTAATAAGCTTTCATAGTATTTATTTTTTCGATAGAGTAACATCTCGACATAATAACACTAAATCTCTTCCCCCGATCACGTTATTGTATCGAGCGCCCACTGTATATCGAAAATTAGTATAACTTGATGTAATCCACTTGAGGACCTATCGCTATCATTATTAAAAAAGTCTCGCTAAGAGAGTTTAAGACTTTTGATTTGTTACTAACAAAATCCCTTCCAAACTTTTGGAATATATCGTTATGAAATTCTTGTGAATCATATCAATTTAGAAGATTTATCGAATTTATGCTAATTTTCAATGAATTGATGCTGATTTTGCCAAATAGCGATCTTAAGGGTAGCACAAGTAGTCATGCATGGTAAACTTGATATAAACTAGCGATAGTAAGTACGTATATACAGAGTGACTTTCGTTAAACCGGAGGCAAAAAAAGAAGGAAATTTATTAAAACATCTATTTCCAAATTACAATTGCAATCCCACTTGACGAAGCAAGTCTTTCGAATGGTCAATTAATACAGGACAAGGTAATGATAGCGGTAACGGAGAAAATGGCAATGGAAATGGGTACGAAAATGGTGAAGACATTAAATTTGACGAAACTGATCCTGGAATTGTATCAAGGGATTTCCAATTAACTGCTCAGAAAAACAATAAGTGTTGAGGTTGTGGATATGGCCATTTGTTTTGTAAATTCTTAAGGGAATATGAATACATATTTTTTTTAAATATGTAATTCTTTTATCGTGTTTAGTATTTAAGTTAAAGTTTCTTTTTGTGTTGTTTGAGCTATTTCGATTCATTTTTATATCTTAGACTAATTTGTAAAATATACTTCACCTATAGATATTTGTATAAACAATGTAACTACTATTATTCTAATAATAGCGAATGCAGTAGGTTAAAATAAATACTTTTATAATGCTGAAAGATCAGATTGAGTTGTTTAGTTTGAAATCAAAAATTTTCATTCTAATTTATAATTTAAATCTTAAATTCGTATAAAATTATTCCAAAGTTCAGTAGAAGCTTGAAATCATTGCTTAGAGGGTGAATGAGTAAAGGATTTAGGTGCAGTTATATGAGTAGAATTTCTAGTAAATATCAGTACTTTATTATTTAAATTAGCTTTATGAAAATTTTAGCATATTTATACATGTACAAAAAATGTATGGATTTATTTGTATAATTGATACGTATATAACATGAGAGTCACAACTCGTTACAACTCGCTGATTGGTTGTCACAAGTCACAACTAGTTTAAACACCATTTTTAGTTCCAAAATTATTGATCCAAATCCAATTTATTTGATAATTTACAATTGCATGTGATTTTTGATTAATATAATATATTAAATAATATATTTTAATTGATTGGTTTAATTAGTTAATCTAGTTCTAAGTCCAATAAATTGAATTCACTAAATTAAACTAATTCAATAATGATATCATATAAAAATTACAATATAATCATATTCTTTTCAAAAATTTAATAATTTTTAATTATATTCATAGTATAATTCTATTATAAAATCTCTTTCTAAAAATATACATTTATAGAGAATAAATAATTAGAAATTATATATTCAGAACTGAGAGTGTGTATTTAAGAAGAATATACATTTATAGATGTATTTAGGAAGAGTTTTAGATTAATAACTATATAATAAAATAATTATATATTAAGTAAAAGTTTTATTAAAATTAATTTGAAAAATTAATTCTTCAAAAAAAGAACTCAAAAGATTTTTTGATAATTTTAATTAATTTTATATATTATTAATATAATTGTAAATAAAGCAAATAAATATAAAATCTAAAAAATATATATAATAATATTGAATATAAATATAGTTAGCTCTTTATAAATATTTATAGTAAAATATTTTTATAATTAATTTTTGAAAAAAGTATAATTATATTAAGAGTAGTGTTCCTATGAACCGAACCGAACCGGACTTTGGCTTGAGTTCAAGAAAGGTTCGAAGTTCGAATCGAACTCGAACCGAACCGTTATACGAGTTCGAGTCTGGTTCGAGTTCGATTAAAGATCGGCATATAGTATCATATAC